TGTGGAGGTGGCGGCGGTGGTGGTGGGGGCAATTCTGTTCGGGGAGGGGAGGCGTATGGACATGGAAGTGGGTTTGGGGGAGGTGGTGGTATTGGTGGCGGTGGAGCTGGAGGGGGAGGCGGCGGCGGTAGTGGAGGTACAAATGGAGGAAATGGTTACGGTAGTGGATTTGGCGGTGGCGTAGGTACTGGAGGAAGCGGCAGTGGCGGCGGCGGCGGCGGAGGAGGAGGAGGAGGAGAAAGTGGTCCAAATGGAGGATATGGGAAAGGGGAGGGCGGTGGTTTTGGAGGCGGTGAAGGGTTTACAAATAGCGTTGGCGGCGGCGGTGGGAAGGGCGGACAAGGCATGGGGATGGGATTCGGGATGGGGTTCGGGATGGGCGTTGGGTTTGGAATGGGAAACACCAACAATGGAGCCGATGAGTCCAACGGTCATGCTCAAGCCAAAACCACCAATACCAATGCCAATCCTTAGACACCTTTTCCCATTACCATTACCATTCCCATGCAGTCTAAGATAATACAAAATTTGTTTGTAATCTTAATAAGCCATTATTTTTCATGCATTTACCATATTATATATTGTTTCCACATTAAGTTCAAGTTCCATGTTTAAAATCTTTATCATAAAATACTATTTCAATTTTTAAACTCCGTTTATCTATTTTAGTGTTTGGTAATAATCCAAGATTTTCAAAGAAAGACGGTAAGATCTCACATCAAACAAAGAGTAAAACGAAACATTCTAAAAGTGTGAAAATCTCTCTTTAGTAGACATGTTTCAAAACCATGAGTTTGATAGCGGTACGTAACAGGCCCAAGCAGACAATATCTACTAATAGTGAGCTTGAGTCATTACAAATGATATCAAAGCCAAACACGGGGCGGTGTGTCAGCGACAACACTAGTTCCCCAAAAGGAGTGGATTGTGAGATCGATGACAATACATTACGGACCAAAACAAACAATATCGACTAAGGTGAGTCTAAGCTCTTACATAAACATTTAGATTATTCTGTTTAGTTCCAGAGAAAATAACATTTAAAAAAAAACATACTAAAAAAACCTTTTTTTTATTGAAATTTTAGAAAACAAACAATATTTTTCCTTTTATTCATGAACAATTACTCTTAAAAAAATTTAGCAAATTTTTAGAAAATATTTAATATAAATATTATAAAGTCAAATCATTTTAAGCTCAATCAAATATTAAATAAATAACGTATTAATTATAATTAATAATCTTACAATATTAAAGTCACTCAATATTCTCTATAAAACTAGGCCCGATATTACTAAACTCACCTAACAAGGCCTAGCCCATTTTTATCCATCGGCGGTAATCGGTAGACTAGGCCCAGCCCAATGTTCCAAAGCCCATCCTTATCGACTCGTGAGGTTGGCTCAGATCCGACGTTGTTTCGATGAAAGGCGGTGATAGCGTCGTTCCAATCACCAAGGTACTGCCGTCGCGGCGGCGCATGATCGAGGATCTGTTGATCTTCCTAAACTCAAATAATATAAGATATGGCCATTTTAACCAAATCAAAGTCGCATTAGGTGATTATCGTTAATTTCATTTGTTTATCGAACTCTTTACCCTTATCATTTTGTTGATCCTATCTTCGAAAAATCAATAAATTATCTGATAAAGAAGTAATTTATGGAAGTATGGAATAGAAAAGCTGCTTTTATTCTCCTTTTTCGTTTCTATTTCCTAGTTCTGAAGCGATCGCTCACCGCACCATTGTGTCAATAGTGCTACGAGTTTAACGGTGGAGATTTCCTGCTTTTTGTATTTGATTTTAGTATCAGGCGCTGTACATTGTGGGTATAAGTTTGATCGAAGAATGGGCAGAGAGTTGTAAGAGATTAGGGTGTGTGTGAAATTGTGCCACCACCACCCATTGAAGATGGGGTGTTTTTGGCTGCTCGATTAGGAGAGGGCACCCTACGCCACCCACTTCATATTTCACCGAACCGCTCAGTTTTTTTTTTCTTTGATTGTTGTTATTTTGTTGCTATGTGATGTTAAATAACCTACACATATATAAAGGTTCATGCCTTTTTCTCTCCTCCTGATATCTTGAGACTGATCCACAACTGCTCCTTTTGGCTGTCAGATTTGTTTCCTTGAAGAAATAAATTTGAAGGGCCAACAAGAAAACCCATCTCTGTAAGGTCTTCGTTCTTTCTCTTCTCTTCATTTCTGGAGTTTATTAGCTGCTGACATTGCGTTTTTCAATGTGTGTTCTTACCTTTTCTGATGATTTTTCTCTTCCTCTTGCGGTTGGTCGATTGGCCTTGTAAGTTTCTCGGATAGCTTGATGGGATATTGGAAATTTATGTTGAAAGATAACACACAAACACCCTGTTTTGTAGATTTGATATTCATGATTAGAACTTGGAATTTGATTTTCTCTGGATTTCTTGAAGTAGTGCTATAAACTTGACTGCTTTGGATATTTCTTAGATGGTCAGTCTATAATTGTTCCAGGCGGTGTCTCAAAATCACATGCACTCGATGTTTTGCATTCCATCTTGTTCTTTCGTATCAAGGGTACAGGGTGTGTGTGAGATCTCATGGGGAGGAAAACGAAACACCCTTTATAAGGGTGTATAAGCCTCTTCCTAGTAAATGCGTTTTAAAATCTTAAGTGGAAACCCGGAAGGGAATACTCAAAAAGGACAATATTTGCTAGCGGTGGGCTTAAATAGTATTAGAGCCAGACACCAAGCAATGTGCCAGCGAGGAGGCTGAGCCCCAAAGAGGGGTGATGAGGTGATGTCCAGCCGGGACATTGGGCCCCGAAAGGGATGGATTTGGTGGAAGTCCCACATCGATTGGAGAAGGGAACGAGGTGGATTGTGAGATCCCACATTGGTTGAGGAGGAAAACAAAACACCCTCGATAAGGGTTTGGAAACCTCTCCTTAGTAGACGCGTTTTAAAACCTTGAGGGGAAGCCCGAAAGAAAAAATCCAAAGATGACAATATTTGCTAGCCGTAGGCTTGGCTGGTTTAATTTTTAATTTTGAAGTAGAGCTTTATTGCCTAAATTTGTTTCAATTCTATGTCCAGATATTCTAGAGTAGCAAGATGAGGGGAGGTCTATGGCAACTGGGGCAATCAATTACTCGCCGTCTTGCCCAGTCTGATAAGAAGGCTGTGGGACGTCGATTCTTTTCTGGGGAGTCTGAGCTCAAAAAAACTGTTCTATATGATTTTCATGTTGCTCATGGTGGAAAGATGGTTCCATTTGCTGGATGGAGCATGCCTATTCAATACAAGGACTCAATAATGGATTCCACTGTGAACTGTAGGCAGAATGGTGGACTGTTTGATGTCTCCCATATGTGTGGACTGAGCCTTAAGGGGAAGGATTCTATCCCTTTCCTTGAATCACTTGTTATTGCTGATGTTGCTGGTCTTGCTCCTGGAACTGGAACACTTACTGTCTTTACCAATGAAAAGGGTGGCGCCATTGATGACTCAGTGATCACCAAGGTCACAGATGACCACCTCTATTTGGTTGTCAATGCGGGCTGCAGAGACAAGGATTTAGCTCACATTGAGGAGCACATGAAGGCCTTCAAGGCCAAAGGAGGCGACGTTTCTTGGCATATTCATGATGAGAGATCTCTTCTAGCTCTCCAGGTTTACATATTCCGTTCATTTCGTTTCCCCATCCGAAATTTGGATAAATTCTTATTGTGATACCAATGTGAAAAAGTTCATTGACTTCCTTTCATAGGGCCCTCTTGCTGCACCATCTCTTCAACAATTGACTAAGGACGACTTGAGCAAGCTTTACTTTGGTGAGTTCCGCATATTGGACATCAATGGAGCCCATTGCTATCTCACCAGGACAGGGTAAGGTTCAATTTGGCTTACATTTCTCTTTCCAATCTGAACGAGCCAAGTCTTTTGATACCTCGTGAAATGTTTGAATAACTGAACATGTTATTAACGTTGATCGCCCAACAAAATAGTTGTTTAGCAAATGACTCAACCTATGCATCCGGTATTTACACACTTTTGCCCCAGCTACTGCTATCCTTGGGAAACCTTGGAAAAACTGTTTGAAGTCCATTTATCAATGGCTTGCCTCTCAATGTCGAGTTCTAGTATCGTGTTGGTTCGAACCCGTTACAGTTTCTTATATATACTTGTGAAATAATCAGGTACACAGGTGAAGATGGATTTGAAATATCAGTGCCTTCAGAGCACGCTGTGGATCTCGCCAAAGCAATCTTGGAGAAATCAGAGGGGAAGGTAAGATTGACAGGACTGGGCGCTCGAGACAGTCTTCGACTCGAGGCTGGCTTGTGTTTATACGGCAATGACATGGAACAACATATAACACCAGTGGAAGCAGGATTAACATGGGCCATAGGGAAAAGGAGGAGAGCCGAGGGGGGTTTTCTTGGTGCTGAGGTGATTCTGAAACAACTTGAAGAGGGCCCAGCAATAAGGCGTGTTGGGTTCTTCTCTTCAGGCCCTCCTGCAAGGAGCCACAGTGAGATTCAGAATGAGGAAGGAAAAAGCATTGGAGAAGTCACCAGTGGAGGATTTAGCCCATGCCTGAAGAAGAACATCGCTATGGGTTATGTGAAATCTGGATCTCACAAGGCTGGCACCAAAGTTAAGATCATTATCAGAGGAAAGGCCTACGATGGTGCTGTCACTAAAATGCCATTCGTTCCTACAAAATACTACAAGCCAACATAGTTCGTGTCTGCCATGCTGTCCTGTCCTGTAAGATTTTTCTGATCTGACCCTTTTCTCCTGACCAGATTCTGTATTTCCTAGATGTCAGAAGAAGTATTGGGGTATTTGTTTTCAAACTGCGCTAATCAGAACTTGTTGATCATAAAAATGTAATCTTGCATTTGAGCCATTTACATTTCAACATAAAGTTAGACAAGTGGAGAATGGTGGGGTAAACCAGAAAAGTTTGGGTACAGCCGGATCTGAATGTTGGCTAGGTAAGCGTCCTGTAGTAAGAGGAGTAGTTATGAACCCCTGTAGACCATCCCCATGGGAGTGGTGAAGGGAGGGCCCTAGTTGGTAGAAAAATACCCGCAACCTTTAATTTAGTCATGTCAATGGAATCTTCAAACGTCGTCGAATAAAGTTGGGACCTTCAAAAATATAGTCAAAAGGGACTTAAATGTTGAATAAATAGTTTTCTTTGTTCGAGGGTTTTAGAGAAAGGACTCGAGCTTCAATTAAGGGGAGGATGTTTGAGAGCTCCATAGGCCTCACGGGAGACTCTATGGTGTACTTTTCCAAAGGGAAGATTGTTGAATAGTATTAAGAGGGAAGCTTAGTTTTGACAATTTAAAGTCCTAGTTTTGTTGTTGTGTGTTCACGTGTGATACTCGATGGAAATTAATTAATAGCAAAAATGAGAGAATCAAACAATAGTTACAAAAGTAATATCATATTTTCGTTCCATTACTCGTTTAATTT